GTCAGAATTCCAAAATGGGTCTCACTGAACTAATATCAAGACACCAGCTGGGCTATATTCCTTTCTGAAGGCTCTAAGAAAGAATCCATTTTCTTGCCTTTTCCCACTCCCTTGGAAAAGGGGACTGCCTGCATTCTTTGGCTTGTGTCCTCCTTCTGTATTCAAAGCTGGCAACAGTCAGTTGAGCCTTCTTCAAATTGCATCCCTCTGACCTCCTCCTCCACATTTAAGGACCCTTGTGATTATACTTGGCCCACCAGGATATCTCCCTATCTTAAGGTCAGCTGATTAGCAAGCTTCACTCATCTGCAAACTTAATTCCCCTCTGCTGTGTAACATAAGATATTCACAGGTTCTGGGGGTTAGGGTGTGGACATCCTTGGTAGGGGGCATTACTCTTCCTACCATGGCTTCCCAATGTCCACCAAACCCATCCTATCTGTCAAGGACTTTTGCATTACTGGCCCCAATTTACTCTCCTGTCTTACCCCCAGGGCTCTGATCTTTGTGCCCTGGGTTCCAGCCTGATCTCTATTCCAGTCCTAGAACCTGGAAACACACACACACACAGCACAAAGTGGCACTTAATAAATATTTGTTAAATGAATGAACTCATCTTTGTATGTCTTCCTGTTTTTTGCCCAGTTCCCTGATCATAATAGATGCTGAAGAAGTATTTGTGGAATTAAATTTTATGTACATCCCCAGTATTACTTCATATCATCACCAGAGGAAAAACAACCATAGTAAGCCACTTTTTCATGGAGAAATAAAGACTATAGACAAGCTGTCACAATTCAGATGAGCCTTTTATTACTTAGTTTTGATGTGATGGACCTCCCTAGAGCACAAAGTATTGCACGTTTAATTCAAGGATGGAGTTCATAAATTAACCCCAGCAGACCACACCATCTACACAGGAAGTGTGTGTGTGCTGGGGGGAGAGGCACTCTAGTATGGATGTGTAGGATACCAAGAAGGTAACTAAGCCACAATTCCCTGTAGTTCATTACATCCAATTTCAGGGTATATACTTAAAGCCTGAAGCCTCTTCTAGTTCTTGCCTAAGTTTTTATTCTCTTGAATGCGTTTCTCTTACTTTTACAGTAGTACTGGTTTCTTAGAAATAGACGTTTGTCCTCTCTTTCTAGGTTTTTCATATCAGAGAAAGAAAAAAACTCAAAAATAAAACATATTGCCTCTAATCACCTGCTCTCTCTTGTTCCATATACAAGAGGCTGGTTTTAAAAATTCATCTTTTCTTTGCAATCCAATGTAACCAACGAGGCAAAAGCAAATGTTTGGAACTGCACAAGCTCATTTCATTTACATTAAACCAATTTTAAATGTTTGGAACTGCGTAAGTTCGTTTCATTTACATTAAACTAATTTTAAATGATTCTCTTCCTTCAGAATTTGAGTCCCCCCTTTCAAACCAACTCCCTATATTCAGTAGGATCAGTAACATCTTTTAACCCAAACACACAAATATTAATCACAATGAACCCTTTCAGTTCTTATTTTACTTTTCTTGCACAACAGATGAGGACATTTTCTAAGCCAGTGTTTATTTTTACTCTGTCTACAGACTAGAATTACTTGTAGAACTTTTTAAAAAACATCATGCCCAGGACCCACCCAAGACCAAGTCTGAATCTGTGAAGGCTGGACCCAGGCATCAGAATTTCTTTTTATCTTTTTTTTTTGTTTTTTTGGCCGTGCCACGCAACTTGCGGAATCTTAGTTCCCTGACCAGGGATTGAACCAGGCCCTCGGCAGTGAAAGCATGGAGTCCTAACCACTGGATTGCCAGGGAACTCCCCAGGATTTATTTATTTAATTTTGCGGTACGCGGGCCTCTCACTGTTGCGGCCTCTCCCGTTGCGGAGCACAGGCTCCGGACGCGCAGGCTCAGCGGCCATGGCTCACGGGCCCAGCCGCTCCGCGGCATGTGGGATCTTCCCGGACCGGGGCACGAACCCGTGTCCCCTGCATCGGCAGGCGGACTCTCAACCACTGCGCCACCAGGGATGCCCCCCCTCCCCCGAATGTCTTTTTAAAGTTCCCCCAGCGATTCTAATGTATGGCCATGGATGGGAACCAAACCTCTTAGCACGCACACCTGCTAGTCACAAAGAGATAAGGCAGTGATGAGAACAGTAGTCAGAGGAAGCTGACCCCAAATTTCGATTTGGCTACGGTCAATTCAAAGAGCAGATCCTTGCCCTGTGGATAATTAGGACTTGACTGGATAATTAGGATAACCGACTTGAGTACTGTATTACATGGCTGAATACAGTGATTGCTTCAGAAACAAGGATATGACTCAAAACAGAAGTTGAATAGGACTTAAAGATATTTTAAAGAAATTATTAGTCAAAGGTCAAATTTATTCACACTGTCTTCTTTAGTAGTCTATGGCTTAAGATGTTAGATATGTGCAATATTCTTTCCCCTTCCCTGCTTTTTACTGTATCTAATGCAGCGAACTCAAGGGAGGGGAGAAAGTCCTTGTTCTCTTTTCCTAAAAAGAGATTTCCCAAATGGCTTCTTGTGGTAGTGGGCCATGAAGAAGAGAAAGTTGAAGGTGATTAGGATCCATGACACTGTAGGGAATCTAGACATTCTACAAAGAGAATGGGTGGGGCACCCAGGCCTTCAATAAAAAGGTAAGGTCTGGGTAGATGCAACAGCAACGGGCTGTGGGTATTGCCTAATTGCAAAGGCACTGTGGAAACATTCTGCTTACATACTGGACTCTGGCACAATATTTTGGTTGAGCTGAATTTTTCCATCACTAATTGCTTACGAGAATTTCCAAATTGAGCACTTCATTGCTCAAAAGTCAAAAAGTGACTGCAAAAGAACATACTTATGCTCTATAAATGGTACGATGCAATCATAATTTGGATAAAGAGATATATACTGCTTTGGCCGAGGAAACCTTGACTAAATTGAATGTTGTTCATCATTTTCTGTAACATTAACATATCTTTCTGCAGTTCTGTCATTTCTTGTATACTTTACTTTATAAAATCTTATTTTGTTCAGATACTTCTTCAAAACGATTGTTGCCAGGATCCAAACTGGCACTGGGAGAAAACTGATTATTTGCAACAAAAAGAGAGAAATATCAAATCCTAGGATTACATATAAAGCATTACCACTCCTTCCAAGTGATTTAAAAATCTATGTCCTAAATCCCAATTTATTTTTTTTGTCAGATCCTTCAAAATTACCTGGAAATTGTGAAACAGCCTTTATGTAGTAAATTCTACCTTCTCAATGTCTTGATTAGATATTAGCCACTGACTGAAAAACGTGTATGTAATTTATTAGTGCCTGAACCACAATCTTAAACTAATTAGCAATGTTTCACCAATTATAACAACACCTTTTAAATGATGAACTACCATATAATTTCTAAATCACTATTTCTTTTTGACACCTTTCTTTTATATTAATGATTTAATCCTGAAAAAAGTGATGTTTCTAAAACCCTGCAATTTGTTTTGAAATTCCTGAGCGTTGAGCAGATCAATTTACAACATTTGTCTTTGAAACATTATTGCTTCTTCAAGACTTTGAACATTATACTCTATCTAAATTCTGTACTTCTATATTTACTGCTTATATATTATCTTCATTTTTAAGGTCCTCTTCGTTTGTCAGCAAGAGCATCTTTTTTAAGAGAAGTCATATATTTTTCTTTAAAGGAATTCCCTTTTTAAAATTTCCCCAATTCAAGATTTTACTATTTAGGAGACAAGAACAAGAGGTTTACTGTAGAGAAATGATAAGCTTATTTTAAATACTTGTAAACTATTGAGATAGAATTCTTTTTTTGGATTGATATAATTATATCCTGTCACACTTAAAGTTGTTCCTGTGTACACAAGACTCATTCCCTTATGGACAGCTTTCTTGCTTGATCTTCAAGCACTGCTCTCACAAAGAGGGAAAATGCCAGTAACTTTAAAGAAGATACACATCTTTACTTTGATAGTTAAGCAACAAGAAGAGCAAAAAAGGCCAAGAGAAGAAAGAAAAGCCTTCTTGCAAAATCAGGTGCACTACAAAGCTCAATTAGTTCACAGACTGAGGACACTGCTTTTTATAAGTTTTTTTCTCCACTGGGAACAGTTTTCTGAGCGTCCCTCTCTCTGCTCTCCATCCCTCGAGTCTTAACCAGGTTTTTTCGTTTTTGCTTGTGAGAACTAAAAAAGTTGCAAAGGAAGGAATATTCGGTACATTTCACGGACGGTTTTCTATTTTCAGAAAGTTTTACCGTTTCCCAGGTGGCTCCCAATTGTTTCTAGACGCACAGAGCCTAGGAGTCACTAGGCTGCCTCTAGACCCTTCTGACAATCTATTTCATGAAAACTAGGAGTCCGCCGTACCCGCCCAAAATGGATCTACGCAGAATTTCGCGTTTGATTCCACGTCGTTTGTCGACCCACGAAAGTTCATCTTTGGACCACAAGTTAAAAACGTCTGTCAAGAGTTAAAAGGCAAGGAAACCTCTAACACCTTTCAAGGGGCTAAAAGACTCCCTGCACCTCCCAAGACGAGTTCTGGACGCGGCCAGTGGAGCTCGGACCTTGACCATGCGCCGGAGTAGGTGTATCCCCGCTACGCACTGGCTTTAACCGGAGGAAAAGTTAACTTTCGGCTCCTTGCATTTCTCCAAAGTCAACCCTCTAGGGCCCTAACCTAAGCTGGGCCAAGGCCTCAAAATCTGGGACCAGGCAAGACAGGTGTGTAAAGAAAGCCTCCGGGCACCACGCACGGGTCGCCGTGCACAAACCCGCCTGAAGAACCGGGGGTCCCGGGGCTCCCCGATGTATTTACTCCTGGTTTGAGTATAGCCTGCAAAGCCTCGTCGCCTCCTGGTAACGCGAGCATACTCCGAGCCACCCCGCGAAGGGTCTAACACTGATGCTCCCCCCAAACCTCAAGATCTCCGCAGGAGCGAGGCATCCCTCATGGGGCGTCCTTACCTTGGGGTTGGTCAGGAGCTGGTGCTCGTCGCTGTGCAGTAGCGCCCTGGAGTTGGACTCGGAGTTGTTCACGTAGACCTGGACGCAGGGGTACTGCGAGGTGCCCCTGCAATCGGCGCCACAGGTGAAGGTGCACTCGAACACCTCGCCGATCTGCTGCACCGACAGCACCGTGCAGTTGGCCGCCGTGGCTTGCAGATCCTGCAGCGCGGGACTGAGCCAGCAGAAACCGAAGATAAAGAGCGACACGACGCCGGAGATGATGAGAAACAAGCCGAGCCGGATGCTCTTGTCCTCGGCTTCCGTGTACTCGTAAGCCACCCGGAGCTTCGCCATCGCCCCCCACTCCCGGCGGCAGGCACGCTCCCCCCGCCCCCTCCCGCCCCCGGCGCAGAGCCCGACTGCCTCGGGCGGGAGGAGCCGCCGCCGCGCGACAGCAGGGGAGTGGGCGGCCAGGGGGAGCGCGCGAGAACAAAGGGGCTGAGGCCGGCGACGCCCCCGGCGGCGGCAGCGCCCCCCCCAACCTCCCCGCCCAGCCGCCGCCCGTGCCCCGGAGGCTCGCGGCGCTGCCGCGGTTTCAGAGCCTCCTGCACCCTCGGGCGCTCGGAGCGCTCGGGCGGCTCCTGCCTCCAGCGCCCCCTGCCAGCCTCCGCCCCCGCGCTTTCCCCGCCTCCCCCACCCCGCCTCCTCTCGCCCAGTGTCTCCCAGTCTCCATCGCCCGCCTGCCGCTGCTCCACGGACTCGCCGGGCAGCTGCCCCGAGGGCAGGAGCCGCAGGGCTGAGGCGAGCCCGGGGGCTCCCCCGCGAGGGAGGCAGCTCCGCCCGGCCCCACCCGCCGCCGACTTGAGTCCTCCCGCCCCGCCCCGGGGCGTTTCCCGTGGGCGAGGGGCGGGCGAGCCCCGGGGATAGCGGCGGCTGGCGCTCGGGATTCTCATTAAATCCCTTTGGAGGGACATCCGAGATAAAAGCTTAGGGTCAATATAATTTAACCGGAGTGAAAGTTTAAAACAAAAAACAAACGAGGGAGAGGGTGTAGCGCAAGTGAAGCGGCGGGAATTTTGAACTCCAAACGGGGATTGGTCAGCCAGCGGGGAGAGTGAGCTAGCGGCCAGGCGGCGGGCGCTCCCGGGGAAACGGGCCGCCGGGACCAGCAAGACTCGGTTGGAAACCCCCGGGCGAGCGGCGTGCGCTGGGGGGCGCCCCCGGGGAAACCCTGGCGCCAGTTCCCACGCTTGGGGCGGGAGCGTACGCGGCGGGGCGGGAGGCGTGACCCGCTACCGCCCCCTCCCCGCCAGCGAGCGCTGTAACGGTCGGGCCTCAGGATCCCGGCGCTGCCCACTGCCCCGGCGCAGCCGGCGCTCCCCCGGCCCCAGCCCGGCCCGGAGGGCAGCAGGAGAGGAGTCAAACAGGCTGAGTCAGACGGAGTTTGCAGTGGAGGCAACGCACGTGGGGGCAGGAACCTGTGACGGGCAAGACCCGGGAAAGTCGCTTCCTGGGTCCTGGGTGGACCTCGCGGCAACTTAGCTCTCCGGCTGCCGGGTCGACCCCAACTCAATTTGCCCTGCGGCTGGGGCTGACTGAGTAGGGACCCGAGGAAACAGGTGCAGAGGCTTGCAGCCCTGGAAGGAGACACCACTTTCCCCATCAGGACCGTCCCCTCGCTCCCGGCCTCCCGAGAACAGGATCTTCTCTGTTCTGTCTCCCTCCTTAGGAGTCTTGCCACCCTTGGCCCATCCCGGAATTTGTAGATGAGCTTTCCAGGAGCGCTGTGCAAGGCGATAGCGGCGTTCAGACTCACTTTGGGACAGGTACCGTTCCTAGAGCTGCGTCCTGCTCTCTTAATTCTTCCCTCCACACCCACCTCCCCACCTCGCCCGCGCATACCTTCAGCCTCTATACTTTTCGTGACCTTTAAAAAAAAAGTTAAGATGATCTTTCTCCAAACCACACTTCTATCAAAATATCAAACTTGGAGAACTATTTCGACCTACATTTTGAAGAGTCAGAATGTTCACTTTGCAAAATACATAAAGATATATTTTTCTTGACTTGCAAGTCCCAAATGAATATACTCTTAATTAAATTCAGTTATGTTCCTGATGAATATGGAAACACCAAGTCATGGAATTCTTGACTTCTCTTTCTTGGATTTCAAATGTTACTTTACTGGTGTAGTACTTTTCAGCTGAAGTCCCGATCTGCTACTTTGAAGTACTCCTTGATGTGGCAGGTAACAGTATTTCCAAGCAAGGGGTAAAGCAAGTTTAATTACAGGAAGACCCTAAGTGTTTTTCTGAATAAATTAAGAAGGTGCAGGGTTTGGAGAAGACAACTTTGTACTTTAATACCTTTCAAGTTTTGAGAGACTAGATTTCTTTCCTTCTTTACCTAGGAATTAAATTATTTTCTTCCCTTTCTGTTGGCATAAAGACAATTGTTAGTGGTTACACACACTACCTGAAAGGAAAAGTGAGTTTAATAGTTGAAGCAGCTTAACCTAAGATCACAGATTTTCAGCGTGAATCTTTTTCCTACGGCAGGTTATAATTATCTTCCTTTTCAAGAAGGCTAAAGCCAATCTAACATCTGAGGCAGTGGTGAGCAAATAAGATCTCATAGCTCTGATATGCTGAGCAACTTGACCTTGAGGCAGAATTAATTCCTATAGCGTTCATAAAACACAGGAATGGGGTGTCTAAAAATAATTTAATGAATATGATTCATTTTTCTATGATTCCAGAGCTCAAAGAGTTCTGTGAATGAACCCTTTGCCTCAAAACTGAAGCAAGATGGTCTTCCAAGTAAATCTAGAGAACAAACATCAGAAAATTCTGTCTTAGTTTAACTTAAATTCTTAAAGGCTTTTAAATCCATTTTTTCAAGTTCTGCATTTAGTCACTGTCCTTCTTTATAATTATTCTAAAAGTATTTGAAGAAACTGTTGCCATCTAGCCTTCTGTTCTTTAAACATTTACTTTTCTCCTCTTATTTCCTATTTTTAAATTAGCTTGCTTCTCTTCTGAACTTTTCATTATTTCATGTGTTCCTTATTGAAAGTCAAACATATCAAAAGACTTTCCAAATTTCTGTTTTATCCTTAATGGAACACTGGGTTTGTTATCAGTTTCATTTGAGGTGGGGCTGCCTTTTCACATTTCCAAGGAAGGTTGGGTATGTCAACTCCTCAGTTTCTGAAAACAGGTCACCATTGACTCTCTTAAGTTAGAATAGTAGTAAGACCCCCTGGGACGTCAGAGATGCTAAGCTCTGAGGTCACTGAGCATCTTGTTTCCCGTGGAGGGCAGAGGCACAGGAAAAAAAGAAAAAGAAAAGCGAGTCCTTTCTTTGCATAGTTGTCCACCAGTTAAAATTAAGATTAAAACTGCAATACTCAGAACCAGACTGACTTATTTGATGTACTTCATTGTCTGCAACAATGTTTTCAGGAGAATCATGGCGAAGCCTTGATGAAGTTCTTTTTAAAAGAAAAATAAAATCTATCTAAACAAGGACATTAAAACCATTGTTATTTATAGTTTTTTCTTATGATCAGTATTCTTCAAGAAGTTCTGTGACTGATGTTAAAGTTGCAATATAAAATTTCATATGTATATATACCTTTATTGAAAGATTCTGAAAAGAATGATCATAAGTAGGGCTTTGGTATCCTAGGAATAGAAGGGAATTTGGAATATGTTGGGAAAATGTTTATACATGGTTTTAAAAATTGGTACATTGTGAAGTTTTTCAATAACAAAACTGCTACTGTACACTTGGATAGCTAAAATATATAGGGGAGAAAAATAATACTGTATCATCACCTTTTCTCATTAAAATTCACATGCTGGATAGGTTTTAGACATTTGCAACTAGAATAACTAGGTAAGAATAAATATGAATGAAAGCATGAGTGATCCAACAACAAAAAATATATAGAAAAAATTTATCCTTTCCATTTATCTTATATAACTTTAGATTTTGTTATTGTCACAGAAAATTAAGTTTCCTTTTCATTTGGTCTTAACTTAAAAAATGCTTACAGTTGTACTAGATCGTTTCCAGCTTGCTGATATTAACTTTCTTGCCATGCTTCATTGTGAATGTTAAATATTTGTTATTAGCATTAGAATTTTACATTTGAAATAAATTTCCTATGTGGCCACTATCTTTTCTAATTACATTTATTTTTTCCTATCCGTAAACTTTACCTATTATATTGAGCATATAATTATTGAGGACACTACTTCCTATTTCTAAATATTTATAATCATATTACAGCAGGAAGGGATCTTAAATATTACCTAGCTACATATTAAGCAGGAGAGCTTCCAAAGACTTTGCATTTTGTTTGAAATAGTAAAGAATGATTATTAAAAAATATTTTTTCAAAGTTCAAATTTGTTTACATACAGCCTTTATCTTTGCAATTGAGAAAGAAAAGCAAAAAGCACAGATAATCACTTCATATTAGTAAATTCATAATACTGTACTGGAAGTGCTGGCTGGATTTCCTAAATTCTTGCCACCTGTCTATCATGTTAATGGAAGTGAACTTCTATGGGAGGTATATATACACATATGTAGTAAAAGGGAAATCAGCTTTGAAATTGGAAAGCAAGAAGCTAAGAAATTCTGGTCTCAACATTGAGTAAATAGTTTATAACTGATGTTCTTAGATTGTTTCCTCCTCCCCATACAAAAGGTTTTGGACTAGAAGATAGTTTTAACATTTCATGATTTTTATTCCAAGTTGATTTTGTTCTTCCCATGTTCTTCAAAAACTTGGGTATTACTCTCTAACAGCACCTAGTTCTGTTAAAGAGTCTTTTAATAATTCCCAAATATGGAGAGCACCTCCTAGTACAGTGACTAAAAGGGAGAGTGTTTGTCTTTGGAGAAATGGACTGACGCCTACTGAACACCTACTATAAGCAAATGCTCTAATTTAATCTTACCGTGAGATGAAGAGGAACAAGATTAAGTAACTTTCTGAGGCTGCGCATGTATTGACTATGGCAGATTACAAGACCCATTCTTTTTCTACTGTACTATGCCATCTCTAAGGAATTTCTGTATTTAATAAAAAAGAAATGTAGGTAATACAAGCAGATTTAAAATGTGCTTATATACTTATATTCAAGTATGGTTAGGCTTGATCAACATCCATATTGTGAAACCTGACTATGAAGGGGGGGCAGTGGGTAGAGAATCAAGGAGCTGATGATTTAATCTGATCCTCCTGTTTAATTTTACTCTGAAACACTTGTGTTGAAAATAGCTCTTTTTTAGATGCATAGCAAATATAAGTAGTACTGTTTTATGCAGGAGAGGGAGATTAAGTGTAGTATTTAGGTTTCAGAGAGACTTGTTAGAAATTCAAGCTATTCAAAGTATAAGTAAACACAGGGAACAACTATATGTTAACACAAGTCATTAAATAGTTCTAGGGTAGAAGAAAAGCCTACCCTCTTAATGCACGGAATCACCTAATACTTTTAATAACAGTTTCCTTGCTTTTGCTTGGACACTTCCAGTGATGAAAAATTCATTAACTCCTGGGACTTCCCTGGTGGTGCAGTGGTTAAGAATCCGCCTGCCAATGCAGGGGACACAGCTTCGATCCCTGGTCTGGGAAGATCCCACATGCCGTGGAGCAAGCAAGCCTGTGCGCCACAACTGCTGAGCCTGTGCTCGAGAGCCCACGAGCCACAGCTACTGAGCCCTCATGCCACAACTACTGAAGCCCACGCACCTAGAGCCCGTGCTCCGCAACAAAAGAAGCCATTGCAAGGAGAAGCCCGCGCACTGCAAGGAAGAGTAGCCCCTGCTCTCCACAACTAGA